CAAGGTCCTGGAGGCAGCCGACACCAACTAGGTTCCCAGAGAACGAGGGAATGTGCAGGCCTGTAAGGGAGCTTGAGGGAACCACCGGACAGAGGAGAGTAGTGGAGCTACGGGTAACTACAAGACCAGAGGAAGGGTCTGCAAGAGCAACTACAGCAGGAGCTGCAAGCGGCATAAGCCTCGTGTTGTCGCGAAAGATACCCCGGGAAGCGACGGAGTCTAGGGTGAAGGAGAGCGCGGCATTGGCGACAGAGGTCGGAGGAGCGAGGGAGGACCCTAGGCTAAACAAGGCAGGGGATCCTATGCTTGACGCAGCAAGGGAGCCTAAACTACGCACACTGGGCACACCTACGCTAGGCAACACAGGGTAATAGGAACCAGTCACACTAGAGTCATCAACATACAGCGCATACAAAGCAGAGCTAATCTCATCCGTGTCTATATCAAAGATCCGAACACGACGACGGAGGAGACTATGCCAGTCGGGGAGGTCAGGCGATGGGCCGAAGCGGAGATGAAACACGTCACCTAGGCAACGAGCGGGGGTATGACCGAACGTACCGCACACAAGGCCGCGGCGAGGACCGGTCTGGAGCTGGTACTGGCAGCGCCCGTCACTCGGACTACCACCCAACAACACGCCACGCGAGTGACCACTGCGACCACTGTCACCTCCAGCTCCAAGCCACTCGGGCGGGAGACGGCCGACCTTCTGCTGCTGCGGCTACTGCAACTGCTGCGGCGGCTGCAGCAGCTGCTGCTACTGCGGCTGCTGCTGCTGGTCCAGCTGCGGAGCCTGCTGCTGCTGGTCCAGCTGTGGAGCCTGCTGCTACTGTTGGGGCGGCTGCTCTGAGGCACCAGCCCTAGCCCCCTCGTCAGTACTACCAGTGGGCAAGCCACCTCCACCATCAGAACCACTCCCTCCTCCGCGCCCAGCCTTGGGGCGGCGACGCTTACCCGGACGAAACTGCACTGCGGCGGCTGTCTCTACAGCTGGAGCTGTCTCAGCAACTGCAGCACTGAGTAGGGGCACAGCAGTAAAAGATAGAGACTGGCACGGTATCGCTAGACTGGGCGATAGAGCGCTGACGGGTCTCTATGGCAGACAGGGTGTCGACAAAGTCAGTAAGGGTGAGGTCAGCAGGGTGGAGACTAAGGAAGTGATCACGGGTGGTGGCACGACGGTCAGGGAGGCGGGTGGCAAGCAGGTAGAGGGTAGAGCAAATGGGGGGCTGAAACACACAAAGCTGAGCCTCAGTGCAGGCAGCACGTCAGGTCGTGTCTAGCGTGCGCAGGTGGGCGGCTAGGTCAGCGACAGTGGGGAAAGACGCAAGGTCAGGAAAGAGCATGGGCAAGATCAGGCAACCTACAGAGGCAGAGGGCGGGGTGGAATAGCGCGCAACAACAGCCTCTAGGAACTCCTGTGCGGTCCTGACGGGCCTAAAGTGGGGGCGCTCGGATAGGGGAAGGGCATGACTAATCGCAAGCTGTGCGACAGCACGAGCAGGGGCAGCAACTGCAGAGGACTAACTGTCAGCAGAGGTGGGTTCAGCGGGGAGGGCAGCAGGGGGGGTCTGGGCAGGGGAGCGTACTGTCGATGTGGACGGCCAGGGAGTGGCCGTCCTGCCGCTGACCAGTCAGATATCGCTGGAGGTCGACGAGCCACGAGTCGAACTCAATCGGCTGCCCCTCGGCATCAAAACGCAGGACCGAGTCCGCCATCATGGTTGCAACGGCAGGAGAAAGACAGTATTGGGCAGGAGAGCACTGCGGAAAGCGGTGATGTGCAAAACTATGTGGTGGAGGGAGGTGCTGTACGATAGGGTGCAGTGCAATGCGGTGCACGGTGGTGCAATGCGGTGTAGTGCGGTGCCGTGTGGTGTAGTGCGGTGCAGAGCAGTGCCGGGCGGTGCAGCGCGGTGCAGAGGAGCCAAGGTCGGCGGCGAGGCGTCTAGAAGACGGGGCCACCGGCGGCAAGGCGATGGGGTTGGCAAAGAGGCGGGGCCAGCAGGGAGACGGGGCCGGCTAGGCGACGAGGCCGGCTAGGTGACGGGGCCCCGGGGCCGCGAGATGACGGGGCCGCGGGGCCGCGAGGTGACGGGGACGCGGGGCCGCTAGGAGACGGGGCCGCAGGGCCGCTAGGGACGGGGCCGCGTGGTAGCTAGGGGACGGGGCCGCGGGGCTGCTAGGGGACGGGGCCGCGGGGCCGCTAGGGGACGGGGCCGCGGGGCTGCTAGGGGACGGGGCCGCGGGGCCGCTAGGGGACGGGGCCGCGGGGCCGCTAGGTGACGGGGCCGCGGGGCTGCTAGAGACGGGGCCGCGGGGCCGCTAGGGGACGGGGCCGCGGGGCCGCTAGGTGACGGGGCCGCGGGGCTGCTAGAGACGGGGCCGCGGGGCCGCTAGGGGACGGGGCCACGGGTCTGCGAGGTGAGGGGCCGCGGGGCGACGAGGCGGCTAGGACCTAGGGTGGAAGTGCTAGGGGGGGGGGGGGGGGGGGGGGGGGGCTACCTATCATGATACCAAGTTCAAGTGAAAGAATGAGTGGAACAAGGCATACAAGGGAATAACCTAATGGGTTGTACTCCCTAAGGCACAACCCTATATAGTCTACAAAAACATACAATATATGTTTGACAAATATCATGTTCTGAGGTGCCTCGATGGAACTTTCTTCCTCCTCATCGTTGAAGTCTGAATCTGTTGCATGAACAGTTGTAACACGGCTAAAAACTTGTTTTCCTGATGTGGCAGGAGTCACCTGCTTGGCCTGTGAAGACTGTATGATTTGTAATACCCGTGGGTCCAGTTGTTGAAGAAGCAGATGTTGGAGTTTGTGATGGTCCAGTCATTTGTAGAATTGATGATAGTCCTAATTCCAGACTGCTCTCATACTATAAAAGAATTTGACAAGTGGTGCAGGAGACTAAGTATAGAATCTGCAGACACAAGTACTCGAAGTAAAAAATAATACTGAAAGTACCTCCAGTAACAGCCAGTATTAACAAGATGTAACACCAGAATCAGTGTTACAGCCTTCTGATACTTCAAGACTTGAACAAGGATCTTTGCTGGAATGGTAGACTAGTTAGACAGCGGAAGTCTTAGAACTTGTAAGTGTTGACCAAAATTTACTGGTAAGACGAGCGCTATTTGCTGATGTCATTCTACGGATGCTAGCTACAGTGTAACTCGACAATATCTATCAAAACTACTTATATAAATGCTTAAGTACGATTTTATCACAACACCTCACACCACTACACTACACCTTGTAGGGTCGTGTTAATAAAAAAACATTATTATGAGATACTATTTGAGAAGAAATTAATGGCTGGACGTTGTTAAATTATATCTTTGATATATAATTAGTAGGCTTGGTAGGTACTATTGAAACCTACTGTAGAGGGTACAACCCCCTTCCTTGTACCCCTCTCTCTTCTATTCTCGATCTCTTTTCTCTCTTCAACTTCTCTCCTAGCTAAAACCTCATGCCTTCCATGGCTTCCTAGTGTTCTTAGCTTAACATGGTAACAGAGCAGGTTGCCCTTCCCGGGCATGCTCCCCACGCTTCCGCCGCATACTCGTACTTCAGTCATCCCTACTTTCATGCCGCCGTCGCGGCCATGCTGCACTTTAGTGACGTCGTCGTGCTACTGCTGTCGCAGCCCCGACGCGTGGCGTCGACGCCACACCGCGGCGACGGCGTCGTGCTGCCATTGCAGCGTTGACGTAGCGCTGCAGCATCGACGCCACGCTGTGATGGAGGCGGCGCTATGCTGCAGTGGCGGCGTCGACGGGCAGCAGCGGGTCGCGTGACGTCTTAGGCACCGCCGGTCCTGACGCCCGCACGCCAGCCACGGGCGTGTTGCAAAAGCCTCGCCCCCCTTCCCTGCGTCCCCTCTTCCTCGCCGCAGCCGACGGCTGCCTCCCACTGGCCGTCCCACCGTCGCGGAGCCCGGCCACGCCGCCGAGTGCTGCGAGCCCTGCCGTTGTCGCCGCCACTGATGTCGAAGCCGCCGCCGCCCCGCTGTCGCCGATTGCGTTGGGGCCACGCCGCCCCCGCTGTCGACGCTGCCGCCGCAGCCCTTGCTGTCAACGTCGCCGCCTCATGCACCGAGGGGTTGACAGTGGGGGAGGAGTATGATAGAAGGCTAACTTAGCTAAGAAGGAAGGGCGGCCATGAATATGGCGTGAGGTTTTAGGAACTAGGAGCTAGGGGAGGAAAGTTTGACGAGAGAAAAGAGGTAGACTGGAGAGAGAGAGGGATACAAGGAGGAGATTGTACCCTATACAGTAGAGTTTGATAACCTACCAAGCCTACACAAATATATATATATAAATATATAATTTGACACACCCCCTAGGCTTGGTAGTCACAAACCCACCCCACATGCAACACCTCTAAGCCTAGCACCCCCATACCCGGCAGCAGAGGTGACTGCAGGGAAGGAGGGCGCTATGCCTTCTTGAGCTGCAGCGGGGCGGAGCCAGCTGGCGTGGTGAGCTGGGACCGACGCTGCGAGCTGGGACCGACGCGGCGAGCTGGGTCCGACGTAGCGAGCTGGGTCCGACGCGGCGAGCATGGTCCGACACAACGAGCTGGGGAGGTGCGGCGAGCTGGAGTGCGGGCTTGCTGCCCGGTGCCTAAACGAGTGCGCGGCCCACTGCTGCCCATGCGCTGACGCGATGACGGCGGCACGACAAAGCCCTGAGGCCCGGCGATGTGACGGGGCCGGCGCGGAGTGACGGGGCTGCAGCGTGATGGGGCCAGTCTCGGAGGGACGGGGCCAGCTCAGCGTGACGGGGCCAGCGCTGCGTGACGGGGCCAACGCAGAGTGACGGGGCCAGCGCGGGGTGACGGGGCCAGCGCGGCGTGACGGGGCCAGCGTGGAGGGACGGGGCCAGCGCGGAGTGACGGGGCCGGCGTGGCGTGACGGGGCCAGCGCGGCATGACGGGGCCAGCGCAGAGTGACGGGGCCAGCGCGGCATGACGCGGCCATAGCAGCTTGACGCGGCCGTCATGGCAGCGAGAGAGAGAGAGAGAGAGAGAGAGAGAGAGAGAGAGAGAGAGAGAGAGAGAGAGAGAGAGAGAGAGAGAGAGAGAGAGAGAGAGAGAGAGAGAGAGAGAGAGAGAAACAAGCACACGGCGGAAGCGTGAGGAGCAGTCCCACAAGGAACGAACTGCTCTAATACCATGTTTGAAGGCTAACTTAGCTAAGAAGGAAGGGCGGCCATGAATATGGCGTGAGGTTTTAGGAACTAGGAGCTAGGAGAGGAAAGTTTGACGAGAGATTAGAGGTAGACTAGTACGAGAGGGATACAAGGAGGGGATTGTACCCTCTACACGACACTCTTGTGCCCGTACTCAGGTAAGCGCAAACGCTATCGTAGTTGGGCGAATCAATCAGTCTATTTTGCGGGCAACCGCTTTGCAGCTTACGTGAGGGATTCTCCTTCCCCTCCCTGAAAAAATCGTCTCTTCAAGAAATCTGCTCCAAACTGCTGCAAAATTCTTCAACTGCTGCTTCCAGAGTAAAAGCCCCGAAGGCCGTTGTTCGCCAAGCGCCCACGTTCGTCGTTCTAAAAATAGTACCGTGCACGTTCTTTAAAAAAACTCTCAACTCCGTCGATCTCAGCGACAAATCCTCGCCGTTTACACTTAGAGAAAAAACCGTCCGGATGTTTGGCACGAAGTCGGGTTTTTAGGCTTTGAGACTACTGTATGGTAAACCTGCAAGATGCACGGTGGTACACGTTGGGAGAGGCACAAAGTGGATGCGTTCACATCACTAAGAACCAGAGTAGTACATTGGATCTAACTCATACTCCAAAAGATATACAACGAGTACATCCGGACAGTTTTTTCCCAGGACAAAGAGCAAACTTCCGAACAGCGTTTCTAGTAACTAGTCCACCTACTTTTGGCGTTGATCACCACCTGCACCCTCTTAGGCATGTGATCTATGAGGTTAGTGCAGACCTTGGCATGAAGCTTCTCGCACTCTTCCTGGACCCACCATTTTGCATAAGGGGGTGAGCACAAGGAAAATTGCGAAGTATTTGAGCGTATGCATAAGTATTGTGCACGAATTCGGATTGAATGTAATCTCTGAGACTAGCCAAGCCAAGGGGTGTCCAAAGATGCCATTACTTAAATGGTCCTAGCTTATCATGGGTCGTTATCGTCGTATCGTTCTAGGGTAAAATCACGAATAGAGTGGCAAAATCTAGCATTCCCACCACGAAACTTAGGGTAACAGAGCACGGTCGATTGAGCATCCTTTCATTGTTAGAATCATGTTAAAATCCACGGGTCTAGTGACAGTGCATCAGTTGAAGAAGCCTCAACTGTTTGGGAAGAATATCAGGGTTGAGGTCTGGTGAGGAAGAGGGTCACTCCAGTGCTACATATCCATGCTCTCCAATCCATTCCAAGCCTAGGCAGGAAAAATGACATGGAATGGCTTGGAGAGCATGAGTATGTTGCGCTGGAGTGACCCTTTTCCTCACCAGACCTCAATCCAGATATTCTTCCCAAACATTCGAGGTTTCTGCGATTGCTGCACCGTCACTAGACCCGCGGATTTTAACATGGTTCACACAGTGAAAGGATGCTCAATCGACCGTGCTCTGTTGCCCTAAGTTTCGTGGCGGGAATGCTAGATTTTGCCACTCTATTCGTGATTTTACCCTAGAACGATACGACGATAACGACCCATGATAAGCCGAGACCATTTAACTAATGGCATCTTTGGCCACCCCTCGGCTTGGCTAGTCTCTGAGATAACATTCAATCAGAATTCGTGCACAATACTTATGCATACGCTCAAATACTTCGCAATTTTCCTTGTGCTCACCCCCTTATGCAAAATGGTGGGTCTAGGAAGAGTGCGAGAAGCTTCATGCCAAGGTCTACACTAACCTCATAGATAACATGCCTAAGAGGGTGCAGGTGGTGATCAACGCCAAAAGTAGGTGGACTAGTTACTAGAAACGCTGTTCGGAAGTTTGCTCTTTGTCCTGGGAAAAAACTGTCCGGATGTACTCGTTGTATATCTTTTGGAGTATGAGTTAGATCCAATGTACTACTCTGGTTCTTAGTGATGTGAACGCATCCACTTTGTGCCTCTCCCAACGTGTACCACCGTGCATCTTGCAGGTTTACCATACAGTAGTCTCAAAGCCTAAAAACCCAACTTCGTGCCAAACATCCGGACGGTTTTTTCTCTAAGTGTATATCGGACTCGAGTTCCTCGTACCATCCGATCTCCGTCGCAAAAAACCTTCGCTTTTTTCGTTAACCTACTTCACGCGCCTCCCACTGTACAGCATCCGATTTTCACATATCGTTCGCCTGTCGTGTAGTGCCGAAAACATTTCGATCCACCAGCGCAGGGTGATCCGCTAGCTCACCACCCTTATTCAGCCAGAATCGTCGGAGTAGTCTTAAACCCGAACTGTTACTTGGTGGTGGTGTTGAAAATCGGGCGACACAGCCAAGTCAGTCGGGGGATCCATCTGCCGCTGACTCCGTAAAATTTCCTGGCTGCTCCCAGTCGTTCTCCTTCTCTGCGTCAGCTCTTCGTCGTTGACTTTTAGCGGTGACCCGGCGATGACATTTAAACTCGACCCGAGGGTAGTTGCTGGTTGTCCTCCATAGATCATGGGGTGTAATTTCTGACCACGAAAATGGCTTCCTCTGCGGGAATCCAGACTCGCCAAGCTTGAAACTCCATGGCAGACGAATTACACCTCCAGGGGGGCATTCCACGCGAAACAATTTCGAGGTCAGTACTCCTCGAAACTCTTCCGTGCCTGAGCCCCACGTGTGCTGCCGTCCTATCCTTGGTCGTGCTGAAAACTCCTACGCCACGTTGCTGAACAGTATCCGAAGTCCCGTCTTCACCTGCGTGTCGCCTGCCGGAAACGCCGAGCCCTTTGACATCAGCTGCACTTCACCATGCAGCCATGTCTGCTACACGCGCTCCTGACGAAATCCGCTTCGCCTGGGGATATCCGCGAGCTTGTCATCTCGTGAAGATCTCCTCGCTCCATTCGGACACCAATTCGAATCGTTGTTGATGCTTGCCGAGATTTCCGAAACTGCAACCGAAAACTCATTTAACGATATGCGAAATGAACAGCCAACCGGAAACAGGGTTCCCGTTAGCAGACGAAATCCGTCTGTTCATCTGAGAATCAGACTCACATTTCCTATGTCATCTGTTTTTTTTACAACCATTAATTTTTCATATGAACGACCATCTGGTTATATAAATTTGTCTGAATTCTCAGACTAGGTGTAGGCAGTCGTCTGAATTTTCATATAGCGCGTATATTTCCGTCTGATACCGACACATCTGCCCAGTTCCCCACCCTCCCACTGGCCCATGTGCGAACTGGGCCACCTGTGCCATCCAGTCCTAGGAAACCGTCGCACGCGCAATAAAGTCGTCGCGTGGCCTCTCATCACCGCTGTACATTTCGTATCAGATTTACAGTGGCCTGAGTCACATGCTGTTACCAATTTGTCGATATGTGCAAAACCTGGCTTGCTGGCAACTGTAAGGCATGATTTGCAGGCAGCATACCGCCAGCGCATTGCATGCGATGTAGGGAAGCCACCCTCGATGCCTGCCAGCACGAGATGAGTTTCGTGCTAAATTAGGCACTACGCACGTGGCGTCCCATGCAAGGTGCCGAGGCGTCCTTGCGTAATGGCAGCGCAAGGCTCTCGTAGCTCCACATCTGTTCTGTCACCCTCTGGTTATAGTTTTCTACACGAGATGCCTCCCCCCTGCCTCGTTCCTCCTAGTCGTCCTCTCAGCAGAGTCGCAAGGGTAGTCTTGTATGTGCTCGACGAATAGGTCTCATGGCTGCTGCCGCTGGTTCCGCAAAGCTAGCAGTAGATTCCCCCGTCTAGGAGCATGTAGTAGCCTTGCTCCCCAGGCTATCACGCATCGACCTTATTACTGGTCGTGCTACCACTGTGGCATCGGCACCTGCACACGCCGCATCAGTTGTATCCACCCCACCGTCCCCTTTACCTCCGCTAGACACAGAACCCCACATTCGCGCCTGAGGGTTCAGCGCCCCCAACGTCTGAGCGTCCTAGCAGCCCATCAAGGTCTCCTAGCAGCCGGTCTGGGCCTCCTACTTGCCAGTCAGGGCGTTCTACCAGCCCGTCACCGCATGTCGCACCTGCCGTTTCCGTCGGCCCGTCAGATCGCATCTCAGGAGGGCCCGTGCTTCCGTTGCGCAAGCCTGGAAGGGTGTGATACGAGCAGCGCAAGCTTACCTTTGGTAGGCCTTCCTCATCTACTTCCACGCCCTCCGTGCGCCTTGGCGAGCAGTGGGCTCGTAGTGATCCGGCGTCGTCCACACCGTCGGACGACGAAGGTCCGTTTCCCTTAACAGTCGCAGAGCTTCAGGCAAAGGCGGAAGAGCAGTGGCAGCGCCATTTTCCGTGGCTCCTCATCTCCAAAACCTCCGAAGGGCATCCGTGCATGAAGTGCACAGTGTGCATGGTGCACGGTGACGACCCGGACTACCAGTACGGGCGCAATGGAGAGGGTGGGGTCGATATTCAAAAGCAGACTATGCGAAGGCATCAGCACAGCCAGAAGCACGAGGCGGCGATGGCGCGCAAGCTTCAACTTGACGGCAAGAAGGCAAAGCAGCGGTCCATCGTGGAGTTTGAGAATGGCGAAGCGGAATCCAAGCGACTGAAGCGGGTGATGGCGATCGTCCACTTCATCTGCAAGTCAGACGCCCCAGTTCTCCTCTTCGTATCACTGGTGCAGTTCATGGCACAGCAAGGCACTCCTGATCTGCCAGAGAAAGAACGTGGAACCTACCAAAGCGAGTAAGTATTGTCAATCCTGCGGGGCGCCTTGTTTGTGCAGGGTTCTCATTATCTTTCTGTATGCCACCGTTGTTTGTATTCCGTAGCTGGTCACGGAAAGTCTTGCTATTAAGCAGTCCTTTTACCTCTTTATGTGCAGGTATGGCTTCAATCAACTCATTGAGAACATGGTCGGCTACCTGCATGCGAAGCAGCTGACCCACATCAAGGCGAGCCCATTTCTTGGCATCCAGCTTGACAAGAGCACCGACAGGCGGCGGGGCAAGCATATGATAGTGTATCTGACGTTCCTACGCGATACGACGGTAGTGACTGAGTTCTTCGCTCACCTGACGGTTGAGAAGTTTGACGCCGCATCACTTCAAGCCGTTCTACTGACACACCTGGAGAGACA